ATTATGATTTTTTTATGTGATATTTCTATATTTCTTCTTATGTGATATTTCTTTCATTAAAATGCATTCTTTGTCATATGACATACCCGTAGAAAAGGTTTAATAAGAATAAATATTGCCGTTTAAATATTTTTACGATTACGATAGTTTTACGATTCACATAAAATAAATTTTTAAAGCGGACATTTTTTTCAATGATTGATGAAAAAATAGCAAAAAAATTATTTTTTTCTGTAAACTGATATTTTTGTAATTTTTTTTGTACGGATAATGATAGTTTGTTTACTTGGAAATGGAACCGTAACTGTTGGCAACATGACTCCACAACAAACAAAAATGTAATGTATTTAAGTAAGTGCATTGGATAAATTTTACTCCATTTTTCGTCGAATTGCCGAATATTTATTTCTCGATTTCGAAATACTCCATTACTCATCATTTGATGGCAGGTGCTGACGAAATTGTGTGCAATGGTCGGACAATAGTATTACCATCATTAGAAGTTGTGAAAACAAGTGCGTAGAAACTCAATAATTTGTAGAATTCAGTATTTAATATTAAATATTAATAAATTTTTAAATATTTTAGTACCAAAAATGTCAGCGGGCTCTAATATTGATTGGTTGTTGCATATTTATTTCGCCCGTAAGGATTTTATGCGATGTAAGATGCTTATCGACCAGGAGTTATACAAACATCTGAATCCGGAATACTTGTATTTTGTGAAGGTGAATCCATACATTTTCTTTAACTAATTAAGAAATTTATTTAATTTTCCAACAAATTTGAGTGTAAGTCAAACGTGAAGCTGAAATCGTTTTAATTTCAATCTCAGTAAATTTCAATTTGATAACAGAACTTGCTCCTTAAAGGGAATTAAACAAAACAGATTTGAAGTTAAGCCTTTTTCCTTTCAATCGAATTTAACTTAAAATAGAAATAAACTTTTATTTTTGTGTTTCCATCCTTTTACTAAATGCGGCGCAGGGTTTAATTGACCGTGAAGAGGGCAACCATATTGAAGCCATGCACAATCTTCAGAAGGCTATCGAACTGAATTCAAGAAATGTTGAAACGTACAAAGAAATCGGCAAGACACTGTGAGTATTTTTTAAATGTATCGACATTTGTGCACTGCCACACATAATTTTATTTATCGCACTCAAAAAGGACATTTTTAATAGTGTTCTCAGATTTGAGGGTCTCTTAATGTGATTTATACTTTAAAAGGTTAGACTTTTAAATGGTATTGTAAAATATAAGAGGCAATGTCCTTTTTAAATGGTATTTATCAATTTGACAACAATTTGTTATTAACGGTTGCAGACACACAGATGGTTTTTATAAAACTTTGTGTAATAGTTGTAAATTATCAATCAGAGTTTCTTCTCTGATCGCTCTTTTCAAATGACATATCATTAGAAGGTAAAGGTTAATAGAGGCTTGTAATTTGAACCCCATTAATATTAATGGTTGTTGACACACAAACATTACGGATTTATGTACCAGCTCGTACGTTATTATTAGTCGAAATTTGTTCGGCGATCGTAAACAATGAATCGGCGATTTCAGATAGCAACTCACTGGAAATTATAGCAGTTTGTAATTTAGAGATAGTTAATTATTAACACATAACCAATTGAGTTGTTATTTAATAGTTCGTATATAATACACAATTGGAATTAGCTCTCCGATCCATACTTTTCAGTGTCATTTCATTGGAAAGTGTTAATATTTGTGCGCAATCAAACATTTTTATCTGCATAGTTTAGTACAAATGATAAGTGATTTAAATTGATCTACAAGTGTAAGTAATACTTGGATTTGGATTATACTAGTCTAAGTACCTCTAGTTTACGGTTTTCTGTTTTTTCTGTATGATATGTTTTTTCGATTGATTTGCAAACTTTGAAATTTCCAAAATTATATACAATCAGAATTAGATAGATAGATTCTACCAACCGATTACAGAATTTCACTTACAGAGACCTCGCTAAAATTTTGATACAATTATCTTTTTAATTGTAATAATATATGTATATTATATTATACATAATTAATAATTGAATTTGAATAATTGAATATATAATCTGTTCTAATTATATATATAATTGCTCATACATTATTCCACTATAAAAAATAAAATACATTAAAAGAGTACAATATAATAGCAACTAGAATCTTGATGCTAAACCAAATAGGAGATTTTTTGCACTGCACACATTTAACCATTTATCAACACGTATCGACACATCACTACATTATCGGCACAACTTAGTATTTCCCTCATTTAGAACGCAACTTAGCCTAACTCGGACACGACCTTAATATGTTCTAAAAATACTTTAATTTATCTAAGGCCGTGTGCGAGTTTGGGTAATTTAGTGATAAATTGAGGAAAATAGTAAATTATTTCGGTATGGCAGCAAATGTTGGTATTTACCAGAATTTCGAGTAGGGTAAATTAGATAAAAATTAGGTAAATTAGGTATTGCCAATGTGAAAATTTTAAAAGATGTTTAATAAATAAATAAATAAATTCGAAAACTTTAACCAAAAATAATAAATAAGTGCAATAAAATAAATATTTAAATAATAATAAATAAATATTTACATAAGATCAGTGCAAAAAATTCCTAAGAAATTTCAATATACTTTACCTCCATTTACGCGAACTCACACACATCCTAAATATATAAAAAAATATAATTAATTAAACTATAATTAAACTATAAACTATAAATGCGTTTTTAATACTTAGTATACCCATAAACGGTTTTAAGTTAAACTAAAAATTGAAAATTGGGAACTCCCCGAGTCGGCTGTTATGCTTGTTCATGTTATTAAAGACATAAATGTCTACTTTATTATAATTTACTTTTGAATAATATATTCAGGTAAGCTTTGTTCGCTTGACGTACAATACACAGCAGATTTTCTCCATATCTCTGTTATATGAAAGAGACTTCACAAAATTGAAGTAACGACGTCCACGGGTATTGTAGCACCTGAAAACAATAACCTTTATCTTCTTATTCTGATCCTATCAACTTATTTTTAAAATTGTTAATTTAAAAGTATTCTGCAAAATAAGCGTATTCATTTATAATACAAAAATAAATATTTTAAATTTTAATTTAATTTAAACTATATTCCAACAATTCTGTACATTTAATTCTCCATTATTCGCAAATTTCCATTGAAATATTTTTCGATAAAAATTCATTTATGGATTTTTATCTGTGGCGTGAATTTATAATTAAATTTGTATTAACTTTTCCATAAAAGTGAAATAAGTGAGAGAGAAATGCTTGAAAGTTATCACTAAACTCAACGTTTTGTGTATTCTTTTATTCACTTTATTAAGGCCACGCTTTAATTTTGCTTCATTTTTTTAATTTTTTGTTCATTTTCTGCGCATATTTTTCAATTACAGGTTCATTATGGGACGCTTTAATCAGGCTCTTAATGTGTTTCGTGAGGCCGAAGAACTTTCACCCCGGCCAGATCACGAGATTTACCATTATATTGGTAGTTTGCTGCATCGTTCATCGTCAGCAAGTAATCAGTTGGAAGTGGCACGTCAAGAGGCTGCCGAAGCGAAGATGTACTTTCAGAAAGCTGTGCAGTGCGGAAAAAAACTGGAAAGTTTTCAAAGGCTTGCAGAAATTTATCGCAAAGAGAAGGAATACGGCAAAGCAATTGAAGTGCTTGAGAATTGCCTTTTGTAAGTTTATGACTTATGGCAACTTTAGTTTTTCTCTGGTATGTAGTAGTGGTCGCAATTATGTTGATGGTGATGACTAGAATGACGATTATTATTGTGGGGATGGAAGTAGTTCTTTTGATTAGCGTTGTGCATTATAATTTATGAATGAATAAATGACTCTAATGACACAAACGCAAATGAATAAGATTAAATTGACAACTGGAGTATTCCCATCGTCAACTAAATTATCAAAAAAAATTCTTTAGAGAATTTATTAAGATTTTAAGTTTACTGCAAATACACTCATTTAATGTAATGAAAATTATTCTTCAGTAAAATTATTTTGTAGAATTGCACCGGAAAATACTGCAGTTTTAACAGAAATTGGTGTGCTTTATTTAAAAGTAAATGAAACCCAAAAAGCTTTTGATAGACTGCTTGAGGTTATTAATATCGATGGTAAATGTTCAAAGGGCTTACTGGCATTTGGTGCTATATTACAAGTGAGTTTATATGTATTTTGAATTAAATTAAATTGCAGTTAAGAATTTTT